GCCGACACCAAGTCTCCTGACTGTTCTGTTCAAGTTAAATTAATGCCATGTGTGAAACCTTACGTCTGGGATTGTGTCATTTTTGCAGGCTTTGCTTTGTGGGAGCAAACAGTCGACACAGGTTTCCTGAGGAGAAAAAAAGAGGACATTATCCATCGTGCAGTTGCTCTGTGTCCGTGAGTCTCAGTGGTCACCAGAGGACAATACCTTGACTTTCTGGTAGGTCACTTCATCACAGCGGTTCCTGTTGATCTGTAGAACCGCTGACAGGCTGTGAATCACTCCTTTACCACTCAGGATGTTGGAGGAGTTGATCTGAGCATCGTTCACAAACAGCTGTAGCACAGACAAGAAGAGAGGGTGTGATCAGATGCACCTGGTCTCTGGGTGATGGGATCATCTGTCTCCAGATGCAGACCTTTCCGTCACGGGGGAAAAATCCCAAATGGAAGGAGAAACCCAGCAGTGTCTGTCTGTATCCTCCGGACTGCAGGTCGGTCTTTAACAGACGCTCCGTTGCCACCACGTGGTAACGAGTCGTATCCACATCCTGTTAGCAGCAACAAAATAAAAGCAGTTTGAATGAGTCTGAATTCATTTGTAGGTGTGGAACCACTGTCCACATCAAACAGGTACCAGAGCAGTTGCTGCCATTGTCTCCAGGTAGGCAGTGATGGCGGAATCTGTCGGCGCAAAGACTGTAAAGCCATTGGCCTGTTCGATCTCGGCCGTCAGGTTGTAATCCTGAACACAACACAGAGAAATCCAAGCTGTTAACAAGAATTCATCCAGAGTCAAAGCTGAGACCGTTCAGTTCTCTGTATACGTGTGTGTTCGTACGATGAGATACGATCTGAAGAGCGAGAACTCGGGCCTGAGAGCGAGCGTCGCCAGCAGACCTTCACTCAGCTTCCTGTCAGGAACCAGAACCTGAGGAGGAACACCAACAGAAAATTTGTCAGCCTGTGGCAAACAAGATTTGTTACCTCTTATTACCACTGCTAGCTTTGTACCTTATCAATGACGTGGATCAGTCCATTGGTTGCAGCGATGTTCGATGTGGTGATGGTCGCTCCCCCGACAACTGTGAGCTGACAGAACATGGACAGGGGAGAGTTTCAGACCCAGACTGTTCTCACAGATTCTCAGATAGATTAAATGACTTTGTCACAGATCCCAGCCCATGCGCTCAATCAGCAAAATGTTGGATCTAAAACCAGCCTTTAGTCTGGTCCTACAGGAAGGAGTGATATTACACCGTGGTAAACCATCACCTCTTTGGCTGTTGAAACTGGAAGTGTGGTCTTGAGAAGAGAAGTCACAGAGGAAACGTTGCTCAGGCTGAATAACGGGTAGTAACCCAGAATCATGTGATTTCTGTCAGATATGGCACAAATGGAAGCTGTTACACATGTTTAACTGAGACATTTAACTTCAGTTTGCTGATGTTCAGGCACTCAGCACTGCACTACACCGGTAAATAACAAAATATGGACTGAGCTGTGACCTAATGAGACTCGGCAGGTTGTCCGCTGTGGTCCAGAAGGTTCTGTCCTCTGGAGACATGTAATTGATGGCAGCTGACGACGGAACCAGTAGGGTGATGTTCTTGTCCGACAGGGACCGGGACAGACCAGAGTCCTGAGAGACAAAAGTATAAAGTCTGAGGCTGCTGGCACCACGAGGGCTAACCACGTGTCACAGTCTGCCTGTTACAGGTGGGTACACAAACCTAAACACTGATGGCACAGCTGCCGTTACACAGATGTAAATATGTGATCCACATTGCCATTTCACTGCAGTACAGACACGTTTATACACAAATGTACATCTGTGAATATGTTTTCATACATACGTAACTTGGTGATAAATGCTGTCATATTGTCATTTAGCAGCAGTCACATATGGCACTGTCATATAAACGCTGGTGTGACAGATACTCACAGCTGTCCAAGAGAAGAACTCCGAGGCATCTGGCAAAGCCACCAGCTCCTGGAATCATCACAACATTAAGCTCCGGGTCCACAGTCATGACACGACCACAGTGTCACATGTTCACATCTCACCTGTGCGACTGTACCATAGCATATGTGTCCATTTCCAACATATCCTTCGTCACAGACGCACGTCCACTGGGAGGACAGCAGCTGACAGCTGGCCTGGACACACAACATTTAGTTTGTCAACAACAGACGTTCCGTCCGACCTGTAAAAGTCCACATTTTCAGTTTCACTGTTTTTTTTCTGGGGAGTTTCTCCTGATCCGATTCAAAGGCCTAAGGACAGAGGCTGCCCTGTGAGGTGAATCTGTGATACTGGGCTGTAGAAATAAAATCTGACTTGACTTGAACACAAGTGTCTTTAGTCAAAAACTGGTTTCAGTTTCATAAACTAGAAGAAAATGTACTGTACTCACAAAGTAATGACAGCTTCCATCTGCAGTCACACACTGGTTCACAGCCTCACAGTGTCGCCCATCTCCTTTGTAGCCGGCTTTACATGCACAGTCACTCTGTACACACAAAAACACAAAACTAGGAGTCTGTTCAGGTCCCTGGAAACTTTCTCGTAGTTTCACCATTTGTTCTCCATTATAAGACTCAAGTCAAACTGCATTTATATATGTATTCACAAATCACCGCCATGGAACCTCTGCTGCACCCTGATAGCTGTGGTGTATCATCCAAATGTGTGTGGAAACGAAAGGCCCTTCTGATGAAACTCAGGTGGCCGTGGCAGCGCTCGGGCCACCTGCGCTCCACACATTCTTCTACATGGTTTATACCGACCTGTGCCCTGAGTGCACAGTGATAATCTGGGTCAACACTCACACATTAGGCTCAGCAGAACCAGTCTGACATGTTTGAATTGTCTGAGCCTGTTTAACAAGAGGTGTTCCTACTGGCCAGACCATCCTGCTGGAATAAAAAGATACTGAACGCACAGTCATCACACACACTGTTGGAATAATTTACCACTCATGTTGGTACCTCAGTGTGCACCTCGCACTGAGCTTCGTGAAACAGATGCTCAGATCTCCAGATGTCGTCTCATTATCATCCTGTTTTCTTCAGTGTCGACACTGATGCGGCGAGAGACGGTTTACCAGTCTGAGAAGCTGCCAGCAGCTGATAAAACAAATCTTAATGCAAGCAGCTCACACTAAATACATAACATTATACTGTAATTCCTGCTCACAGCACCCAAACCATGACGGGAACTGTAGTGCCAAAGACACCGCCTGCTTATTCAACCAGTGCTAAGACTGAAGCTCCTCTGTGACTTCATATCCAGACATTTACTGAAAACCTGTGAACACAACGGCCCTAGAACATATCGATCACCACTGCAAGCAAATTGGTGGCATTAAACTGATTATATCCTGTAAGTAAAGAGACGCTTCTGAACAAGCTCACTCATAAGGTCCCAGTGTAGTTCTTTAAAGTACCTGTCCAGGTCCGACGTAGATGCAGGTGGCGTTGCGGTGGCAGCCTCCTCTGTCAGCAAGGTCACACTTGTTAATTGGCTGACACTCGTCTCTGTCCTCCCTCCACCCACTCAGACACTGACACGAGTGAGTCCCCGGTCCAGTCTTCACACATTTAGCCTGCGGGGGCACAAAGTGCAGTCTTTACTTGCCGTCTCTGTGCAGATTAACACAACGTAAAGATGAAGTGGCCTCAAAGTACATCTTCAGAAGGAACTAGTGCCAGGGTATAAACAAGATGCCGGCTGCAACGTGTTGTGTCAGTGGAAGTACACGCACCGAAAGGTGCTGCTACATCAAACTGTAACATACATTCATGCTGCAGCCACCTCTGACAGGTGGGGCGCAGGGGTCCGACTCCACACAGGTGATCCCGTCACCTTGGTAACCACGTTTACACACACACCTGTAATAAACACAGCACAGACAGTGAATACCAGCTGTTATAATGACAGAACTTGTAGTAGGGATCCAGCCTTTTTCTGTCACAAGATCAACATTCCAGAAATCTGTGTCGAAAAGCCACATTTAAAACCTAAAGAGTGTATGGGAGTTCTGAGTGTGAAACCACGGATTAAAGCCCAGAAGGAAAAGCCATTGCATCAAACCAAGCCTGAGGAAGTCAGCATCTTACTCTCCCCACAGGTCGGACTAAAGCTTGGTTTTAGAGCCCGAGTGAAGAAACGTGACCCAGAGTTAAACCTGCGTGCGGTGGATGGTAAACTCACCTGGTGGCTCCCTGGCTGAAGTCACAGTCTGCGTGGGCATGACAGAACCGACCATGAACGCCGCAGGCCGCCGTCTGTTGCTCACAGAACCGACCGGTGAAACCCATCTCACACGAGTCCAGTTTACATTGCCCGTCGGAGTTTGGGCGATTGTCACACTGTCCGTGGATACAGGGACAGGCTGAGGGCGCACAGCTGAGGTTAGAACATTCTGATGTCACACCCACCTGTGTGATGTCATAAGGTGAGAGACTCAGACCTACTTCTGTCACAGTTTGGCCCATATTTGTTGGAGGAGGAGCAGTGCTGACAGCAAGAGCCGCTGAAGT